ATAAAATTTAGTGCACCTCAAAAGTTTTATAGCAATTTGAAAAAAAGTGTCATTTTTTATAATTTCCCTTTTTTTTTTATACAAACAACCAACCGTCAAATTAACTTTTTAAGTTCATACTATTTTGAGCTGGTTATAAAATCAATAATTGAGCTAGTTATAAAATCAATAAATGCACAATTTCATTATAATTTGTTTATTTCCTTTAATTTTACAAACGAATGGACAAAATAACAATATTATGAGGTGTTTAAAATGTTATAGCGATGAAGAATGATATAATGTGTGCTTAAAAATGGGCCACGTACAATTTAAAATATTTACTTTGCAAATCTGATTTCGAAAGTTACTTTTAATTTTTTAAAAGGTTAGGCTCTGTTCTCTTTACCGTTTTCGGGTCATTTTCTGTTTTTGATTTTTCAAAACGGTGAAAACATATTCTCTTTCCCGTTTTCGAAAACGAAAAAAAAATTGTGAAGAAAATAGAAAACGACTTTTTTGTTGTTTTGGGCGTTTTCAGTGTAAAACTTGAAAATTGAAAACGCGGGAAACACTTTTTTTTTTATTTTTTATTTTTTATTTTTTTTTTAGGAGGTGGTGTGGTGATTCTCAAAATTTCAAAAAAAAAATAAAAAATTTATTTATTTATTTTTTTTTTTGAGGTGGTATTGTGGTGATTCTCAAAATTTAAAAAAAAAATCATTTTTTTATTTTGAGAAACTAACAAAAAGAACGCATTTTCAATAATTTCAAAACAAACACTCAAAACACAAAACTCAAAATAAATTCAAAACTCAAAACACAAAACTGAAACACAAAGAGAACACCCTCTTAGTTTTTTGAAAAATAACTTTTTAAGGAAAGAATATTTTCCAAGCTGTGTTCAGTGTGACTCCCACCAAATGCTTATTATCTTCTCTAGTTAATATTTAACATACTTTTTCTCAACGTCCAAACTATTCATTTGACTTGTGAAAAAGGCATTATATAAGTACATGTAGATATAAAAAAAAAAAAAAAAAAAAGGGTTGAACCCCAATCTTGAGGATCCCCATCGTCCCGCTCCTAGAGTTTTGTGAGAGAGGTAAATCGAGGGATGTGCCCCAACAGGTCAGGAAACAAGAGCTGCTTGTACACTACGCCTATAAAAAGTCCAATTCCATATCTCAGGAATCGAACCCTCACATTGCGGCTGCCATACATGTAAATATCATTATGTATGCATGCATAACATGATACATGAGGGTGGGAGTCAGATAGTACGGTCTGAATATTTTTAAATTTCAAGTATTTTGTAAATGGGACCATTCAATTCCATTTCGATTTGGGAGCTTCAATTCTGGTTAGAATATCCGTCCCTAATGAATGTCGGATGGTTAGATGTGGAACCACCCATTAAACCTCTAGTATTTTGTAAATGGAACCATTCGATTTCATGTAATTTTTGAAACTTTATATTGTAAATAAAATAGCATTTCCAAGTTCAATCGATTTCTTAAAAAAAAAAAAAAAAAAAAAAACTAACTGCTTGACCATTCTTGTATATTCTAAAGGTCATGATTGTACTCGATTTCATTATTTATAAGATAGGATAAAAAAAAATCCAAAACCTCCCATCGGATCAAGGTAGAGGTGAACCACGTATAAATTATGATGGCGTTTTGATTCAAAAAAGGATACAATTTTGAGACAACGTTGTTAAATAATAATTATGATTTCCGCTATTACTAAAATTGATAACAACTATACGAGCTCAGATTTAATGTCTCATTGGCTATTTTTTTATACACTTTTAACAACTCGGTAGATCACGTCTTCTTAACAAATATGAAGACGTCACTATATTTTTAGCATGTCTAAACATTACACAATGATGTATTTTCATTTACAAACGAAATAATATGCTAAGATATCAAAAATATATTGAGAAGAGGGAGATTTCAACTCTAACAACTATAAGGGCCTGTTTGATTCGGTGGCTTTTCTATGGAAAATGGAAAATTTTCCACATTTTTAGCCGTTTGATTGGTTAGATTTTTGGAGTAATTGGTTTTCCTTCCCCCACCCTCACGTGACGCATTTTCCTCAAAACTATGGAAAATCAAATTTTGGTGGGAATTGGGAATTTCAGCTTTATTTATTTTTTTTATTTTTTTATTTTCAGCAATGGGAACAAATTACATTCACAATTGTAAATTTTATCCCTTTAATTGACAATTTTCATGAAAAACAAAGTCAAACGAACACTAAAAAATTCCAAATTTCAATATTTTTCAGATAGAAAATTATAACAATCAAACACATTAATTAACAATTTCTAATAAAACAAATTCTAAACAATTCAATTTTATAAAATTCGTTTTCTTTTCACCCAAATTTCATTCTTACAATCAAACGACCCTAATATCATATGCTCTTAAAAGCCCACTTACATGTTTCTCAAATTATTTATCTTTTGCTTTGTACTTTTGGGCTCTCTAATAGTCTAATGATCTTTTCCATACTTTTGATTTCTTGAAATAAATCTAAAAGATCCATCTAATGGTTTAATCTTTTTAGAAAATGCACAAAAGTCAAAAGTTATTACATCCATCAATTTTCGAGACATATAACATATACATAGATAATTGATAATGAAATGTAAACAGACGACTTATGTCCACTTTAACATCATATGTAACAATTTAGCTATTTAATGATCATACAAACCTATGTGATTTTACTATGTATACATCAGGATTTATACCTTAGATAACACTCCACACACATGAGAGAATTGAGCCACGATTATTTTATTAGGTTCGGACTCCGCCTTCATATGTGTGGACTATCATCCAAGATGTCAATCCAAATGCACACAGCTTATTGTCGCGTGAGATAGGGGTGGAGTCAAAGAGTTATCGAGACACAAAAGAGGTAAAAGGACACGCAAAGCCTTAAATTTGTCGAAAGTTAGATGCAACTATGTAATGTACACATGTCAATGCCCCCGTCCGTCCATCTCTTAAAGCTGACACACTAGCACCGTTTTTTCCTTATTTGTCCATTTGATGGATTCTGCTTTTTCTGCCTTTTCATTTCAGCCATGGATGGGAATTTATTGCCTTACCCACGTGGTCTCAGGCTCAGCTACCTATTGTTCTGTCAAACAGACCTTTACACTCCAACTCCATCCTCGTTAATTATTAAAAAAAAAAAAGGTTGAATTCCAACCTTGTGGGCCTCTACTGTACCGTTCTTAGAGCTTTGTGAAGAAGATAAATTGTGAAATGTGTTCCAGCAGGCCAAAGAACAAGAGCAGCTTGTACACTGCGCCTACAAGGAGTCAAATTTCATGTTTCAGGAATCGAACCCCATACTGCGGCTGCCAACAAGGCGTGAGATAACATCACTCTTATCCTTTACACCACTGGACTATGCCCGAGGACATCCTTGTTAATTATTATTTGAGCCTTACTTCTTGTACAGAAGGAAAGCTTACAGAAGACTTACAAAATACACACAATGAAAGATTAGTGGGGTTTTTGACAATATTTTATTCATATATAGCCCACTTCCATGTGAGCATCTGTAATGGTTCTGTGAAGGGTCATTATATACAAATGGAAAATTCCTTATTATGTTTCTATGCATCAAACATTGCTTGCAACTATGATTTTGTGAAGGGCCATTCTGCACAAGTGAAAAATTCCTTATTATTTTTTTTTACACATCAAACATTAGTTGCAACTTCACATTCATACTTAGTCTTTGTTAGGTACTGATTATTTAAAACTCATTTTATTTTCAAATTCATTTTTGGTAATACATTCTCCCAATAACTATACAATCGTTAAAAAATTATTTTTCGCAAAATTTATTCTCAAAATTTTTTTCTCAAACGAGTACGGACTCGTAAATATTCTAGTTGCATATAGGTGTCAAAAGAGTCGTATAGTATAAGTTCATTTTTTATCTGCCCTCCATTGGAATGATGGAACGTAAATCTTAATATACGTTAGGTAAAATTTTGAAAAGTCAAAAGCTACTTTTGAGATTAAATATTTTTTTAGATTATTTTGATTAATTTTTCAAAATTGTTTTGCCTGGTTAGAAGAGCTTGACTTAATATGATTTTTTCATGAAGTTATTCTATAAAAAGTAAAAATAGAATCAAATGTCATGCCAAACAAATCCTTGATCGAGGCAAGTAAAAGGGCATATATATGTTCGTTGATGTGTACAATTGTACAAATCACAAGAAAACAACATGTAATGTTTTGCAATGCATAGAAAGAGATCCTTCTTATTTCTTTACTCCATTTGAGGTAATCTGAAAGTTGATCGACGCAGTTCTTCCGATATCTTTACAAAAATGATTATCTTTGTGCCCACCTCTTTTTGCAACATCACAATTTTGCAGAATCCTTAGCCTCGTCCCGTACGACGGTTCGAGATTTATAATTAATCAGATACGTTCGATCAATACATTAAAAGGAAAATAAATTTGAAAGATGATATATCTATTCAATTTAAGGTCAATATAAATTGGGTCAATTTAGCCAAGTTTCTATTTTTGCTTCTATTTTTTATAGAAGAGCTTTCCGAGAAAGCTATTTTAAGTCAAATTCTTATAAAAGTTCCTATAGCCAGATAAAGTACTTCAAAAATCTATTCAATCTTGTTCAAAAGTAACTTCTTAGAAGCAGCTTTTAATTTTTCAATAACTCCAATAAAATAGGTTCGTCATATTTTTTGCAACAAAAAATTACAAGCATTCATTAATTGAAAGAAGAGAATGTGTTGAAAATTCGTAAGTTGACGACAGAGGTGCTCATTTTAGGGTGATACCAAAATTAAATGCAAACTCTTGCTGTACATTGCTGTTTTGCAGAATTTCAAGAGAGGGATCTATCAAGCTTAGTGCAAACTACTTGTTTTCAATTAATGAATAACAACCTAATATCATCAAATCAGATTTTTTTTTTTTTTTCTTTTCAAAATAGTACTTTTTTAATAATGGTTCTTCTTAGGAAATGTCAAATTTAACCTTATTCAAAATTATTTCCAGATTTTTTATTTTTTATTTTTTTTTCAAGTCAAGGAGAATTCAGCAAAGATCAATCAAGTCAAGGAGAACTCAGCAAAGATCAAAATGACACCATTTCTTTCAGGGAAACAAACATGGTAAACCAATACATAAAGTTGGTGTTCGGTGTACCATATATGATCATCTAAAAGAATTAAACATAAAAATTTAAATAGATAGTTATAAGTAAATGATATCATGATGTAATTAAAGAATATTATCCACCATAATACCATTCAGCTATTACTATATGTTCTAATATTATCCCAAAATTCTGAAACTTTTGGGTCTATGGACGTATGCAGTCGTGCGGTTCGTCCATCGAGAACTCAGGAAGAAAGGCTTTATCTTGCAACAAAAATGTACAATGCACTTTGATCAAATTTAAGCCTTGTGGCCATTTTCATGATTTAGAAGACAATCTTGGAAGACTAAGTAGACTATTAACCCGGGCAATACCTTCAAGTGCTGACCATTCATCATCTGCAGTCGAAAGGCACTCTGCTAGACTCCTCTTAAACTGGCAAAGAGGCCAATCTGGTAGCTTCTCCATTTCCTCAACAACAGGAACTATCTCACTGGACTCAGTAATATCTGAATGTAAAACTTCAGTAGCACGGGCTTCATCTGAGATTCCCATATCTTCTTCCCTAGAGAAAGGGAGCTTCTTCGCTTTCTCTTTGTCCGCATTGGTGACATCATTTTGTTCTTCAGCCACATCCGTCACAGGCAATATCACACTTGACTCGTTGGTAGTTGCACACGAATGTACAATGCCGCCAGCAAGAGCTTTGTTTGAGATCTCCATATCCGCTGGTGTAGGGACAAGGATCTTCTTCAAGTCGTCCTCTTCGTGGGCCTTGGTGACACCATTTCGTGCTTCTAACACATCAATTGAAGATACATGTTTGAGGAAAAGACATATAGCGGCACAGTCATCGTTCTTGGATGCTGGGTACTTGAACCTCCATGCTCTACTAGCATGATCAACTAGAGCCCGTGTGGCTGTTCCACAGTCAGGAGCAGAAGCCACAATATCCACTGCTTTCTCATTGGAGAGGACATCCCATACCTTGTAAACATGAGCTTTAGAAGACATCGAGTACGGTTTGACTTGCTATAGGCATGCAACATCTACACGACAATCATGCACACACTGATGGAGAGGGTGGGAGATGTTGAAGACGAAACTTAAAAAATTACACGTGTCCCCTCTGATAACTTAAGCTTTTAGATTAGACGATTCAACATTATATCATAGAAGGCAAACGTCCTATGTTTGAGTCTTGTGGCCACTCATTTATGAGAATTGTACACATGTTAGGCCTTAGATTAAAAGATGAATCTGGTCTATATGTGAGATGACGTGTTGAATACTAATATCTTAAACTTTTAAATGAGACGATTGAACAAGAGGTACACCTTTATGATTAAACATAGGGGACGAGAGAATATTACCCCATCAGTGGCAAGAATGACAAACTCATCTCTCTCAGTGATGTGGTGGTAATAGACATCTGGGATAGAAATTAAACCAAAATCCTTCAAACAGAAGTCCCCAAAGGCTCTGGCCATTGCCAAACCAGGTGAATTGCTAGTTGGCAACCATACACGTGTAACTTCAGGCTCATCTTTCAGTGCAAAAACTCTTCCTTTAAACTTCCGGATCCGAGCAGCTTCTCCTGGAAAAAGAAAACAAAAGAGGTCAAGAATTTCAGTTCTGTGTCACTGAAAAAGCAGTTCACCTTCTCTTCCTTTATTGACAAGGAAGCCAGAATGGGATTATCTCACAGCCAATTGTTAAATCATCTTACTCTTCATTCTATCAACAGTTTCAGAACAAGAGCACACACATTAAAACGCCATGTGTGTGTCTCTCTGCGTTTTCAAAAGGATAGGGAAGAAAAGATAGGAGAGATACTTGGAAGATCAGGTTTCAAGTCCACTGTCAACTGTACTGCCATCAAAGCATTGCCGTTGTCTCTTGTTGCCAATACTGCTCTGGAGTCGCCAATGTTTCCAATTATAAGATCCTTACCCTGGAAAATCAACTTCACGAATTGATAAGCCACGTCAGATAAATCCGTTTTCTTACAAAATAGAACCTGTCGCAATAAAGGTTAACATTTCCTTTCTCATTGAGCTAAAACCGTCTTGAAACTTTTCCATGCCAAGAAAGAAACTGTCATTTTGTTCAAAGCTAACCTCCCGGACAACTTGAAATTTTTTAAAATTATATTTTCAGCAAATATGGAATGCTGCAGCTAAAGCGTTTCAGGTATCACTCTCCACTCCCGACACATTGATTGTTCATGCAAACAGATCTTTGATTTTCAGCGTGATCATTTTGGGCAATTCATTGCTAGACAAAGTTGTGTTTGACACTAAAGGAATTGCTAATACAAACATATGAGATCTGTGCACACAAACTATCATCAAACTTTTTCTTTAGCTTATATTGAGGAAATCTAAGCCTAAGACTTGTCACGTAATTTAACAAAAAACTTACCGATTCGACATGAAGAATAAAGTAAAGTTTTCCTAATTTCTCTTTTCCTAGTGGCCACCGACAGGATCAATGTTTACTCGGTTAAGTTTTCTATGTTGTTAAATTTTTATATACATAAATAGAAATCTTGCTACATTGGGACGACCAGAAAATTTTTCATATTATATTTTTCGGGAAAAAAATGTAATGTTGCATTTAAAGCATTTGAGGTAGCCCTGGCCGTTCTCGAAACTTTGATTGTTGATGCAAACATATCCTTGATTTTCAGTGTGTTATTTTTTACCGTTTATTGCTAGAAGAAGTTGTGTCGTACAATAAAGAAAAATATCAATGTAAAAATTCGAGATTTGTACAAACCAACTATAATACAACATTTTCTTTGGCCTATATTGAGTCTTGTACACAAACTATTGTGCAATATTTTCTTTAGCTTATATTGAGGAAATCTATATCTAAGACTTTTCACATAATTTAACAATGAACTTGCCAATTTGACATGAAGAATAAACTAAAGTTTCCATAATATTTTCTTTTAGTGGCAGGGAACTAAAGCATCAGGTCGTACTCGGGTAAGTTTTTCGCAGTGTTATGTTCATATGTACATAAAAAGAAAAATCTTGCTAAAATGGGACGACTTTGAAAATTTTCATATTTTATTGTCCGAAAAAATGGAATATAGCATTTAAAGCATTTGAAGTGGTCCACTCCATCCTCTACACTTTGATTGTGCGTGCAAACAGATCTTTGATTTTCAGCAGGTTAATTTTGGCAATTTAGTGCTAGAAAAAAGTTGTTTTCGACACTAAACAAATTGCTAATGACAAATTTGAGATTTGTACACACATACTCTCCTGTAATATTTTCTTTAGCCTGTATTGACGGAATCTAAATCTAAGACTTGTCACATAATTTAAAAAAGAATTTACCAACTTGACACGAAGAATAAGTTAAAGTTTTCCTAATAGTTTTCTTTTTGTGGCAGGGAGCTGGAACATCAAGTCATGTAGAGGTCAGTTTTCTGCATTGTTATGTTTATATATACTTTAAAAAATTCTTGCTAAACTGGTACGACTTGGAAAATTTTCATATTATGCTTTCTGAAAAAATGGAATGTTGCATTTAAAGAATTTGAGGTAGCTCACTTCATCCTCTACACTTTGTTTGTCAATGCAAACAGATTTTGATTTTCAGCAGGGTAATGTTGGCTATTTATAGCTAGAATAAGTTGTGTTTGACACTAAACAAATCACTAATACAAAAATTTGAGATTTGCACTCACAAACTGTCGCGCAGTATTTTCTTTAGCTTGTATTGAGGTAATCTAAATCTAAGACTTGTCACATAATTTAACAAAGAACTTACCAATTAGACATGAAGAATAAACTAGAGTTTTTCTAATATCTTTCTTTTTGCAGCAGGGAACTGCAACATCAGGCCATACTCGGGTAAGTTTTCTATATGAAGAAAAGACTCAAGATATCAACTCGTGCAACTTGAGATTTAAAACAATAATTTAAATGTTTTCTTAAGTTCCAATGAGCTTTTCTATCAGCTAGGATTAGATGTTTCTGTTAAGAATAATTCTTGTCATTATTAGTAGTTGATATTTTCCTAAATAAGTAATTCGCTAATACCGGTTGTAGGATATTATTATTGTTGGACCCAAATAAGAAAGTAAACCAATTAAAAACACCAAGTCATTTATTAATTATTTCTAGATGATTAAGGTAATTAATTCAATTTAATTTATTCTAAGTGTCAATCAAATAAATATTCAGATCAAATCAATAAAATAAATAACATCAAGAATTGATCATGGAGGAAGATCCTCGGGATAAAATAATCTCTTGGCAAACTTGCCAATAAACGATCCAATAGCAAAATTAACTTACAATTAGTCCAGATACTAACTCTGCTGGTTGTGCATGCCCACACTTCCCAAAACCGTGGGCCACTTTTCTCCTATTGGACCACCAAGAACGAACCTTTATTCTTCAACACTAGAACTCCAAACACCTCTTCTCCAAGCTTAAGATTTCTCAAGCTTTATAGATGAAGGCAGAGGGTTGTTTAGTGTTCGAATGGCTAAAGCAAGAGATTTATTAAAATATGTAATGGATCTTCAAATAATGTTCTCTTCACTTAAAATAAAAGCTCAACCAATGGAAAACAATAAATGGGAAAATATTAAATATATTTGTGATTGAATCAATATATCTTTTGAAATGAGTTTATGATCTTCAAATATTGATCTCTATAATGAATATAATGTTCAACCACACTTTAGAACATTCCATGGCTTGTGTATTTATAATGGATAGTGTTTAGGGTGAAAAGGGATTGAAAATCACAGTTAAAATCGAATCAAGATTCTTGCTAGATAATATCGCCTCCCAAGCACCAAGTATGAACCAAGCAAGCAGCAGCCCGTCTCTCAAGCGGGCAGTTACTGTTAAGCAAGCACCAATGATTCTACTTCAATTTGTGTTGCGCCACTCAAGTGCTAATGTAATGTACCGAAATTTCATAGAATAGAATTTAATTTATGTGTGCTATAATTTAATATTTTGGAAGTTTATGGACTAAAGTATATATAAAGTAAATTTCAATTTTTATCGAATGTTAAAATTAGATGCTGACAGAGTGACAATAAGTATATGAATATTGGGCTCGTTGGATAGATAGTAATTAATCATGCATATTAGGCTCGAGAAAAAGTTAATCTGGATTATCCGACCCCGAATTATCGAGATTAAAAGATATAGCTTTAAACTATATTTTAAATGATTATTTAATGAATTTAAAATTTATATATGGTTGACATGTATAGAACTAGATTCTCAATAGGGTAATGAATGATGTTTTATTAAAAAAAAAAAAAGGAGAGGGGATAAGGAAACCACATGATAGAGAGAGCAACATTATTGATTTTCCTTTCAATTTGTTGGAAGAGGCGACAAGTGTATGAAATGTATTGGTTGTTGAATGGTATAGTTGGTTGACAAGGCTTGGTCAATTATTTTAATTCAGAAGTCCGTTTCCCAATTCTTATCCATGCCCCTATCCTACTTCTACACGTTTCCCCAACTACACACCCACTTTGTTAGACTAGATCGTGGGTGATATATTTATATATGTATATCAAAAGAAGACATATGCATAAGTACACGGTTGTAGAGAGAGAAAAGTGTTGGAAACACATAAATTACATACTTCATACTTTATGCAATGTAAAAGGATTCTTACTTTCCCTAAAAATTTATAGATACTTAGACCTGGGGTATTGGGATTTAAAATAGGAAGTCAATTTCGAATAATATAAATCCTTGAAGTAGGGAGAAAGATTTTAAAGTTAAAGTTATGCTATGAAATGCTATGATATGAATGATATGGTCGTTCTGATACAATGATATGATATGATATAAGCTCTCACCAGATTTTAAAGATATGAGAGGGTATGATATTCTGATACATGTGTTTCAAATTATTAGTTGTGATCGCACCATTATATTCTACTGAGTATTCCCATGTACTCAACCTTTTCCCTACTCCTCACAGGTTAGATCGGGTCGTTAGTCGGCTGGTGATGAGGTGAAATTGTTGGGCCAAGATTTATGGGACTAAATGAAATAATAAGTGTAACATGCCCTAAATTCTAAATTTTAGCAGTAACCTTAGTTTATTAATTTATTGAACTCGTTCATTTAATTTGAAATTTGGGACGAATTTGTTTAGACGTGTAATTTCATGCAATAACTTGAAAATTTTTTACTTGTTTTGGTATTTTGTGTTTCCTTGCTATTTAAGTTTTTGGCATAGATAGTTACGTCAAATTGAAGAGTTAAAAATAGAGCAGCCTTGGGAATTGATTTACAGTTTGCCATACATGTCTAATAAATGCAATGTACTATAATGATTTAAAATGGGTGAATCCTGATGCCATGTCCCACCCACTGAAGAAAGAGAAAGTATATTATGCTTTATGTGTATATAAATGATTCTGATTACTGCCGATGTACCGTGAATATATAGAGTGTCAAATGGTAATTATTTTGTAAAATGATTTTGCCTCTAATACTTAATTTTCAGATTAATTCTACGTGATCTTTCCAATCATATGCGTTTAAGATATGGCGTAGGAAAGTATTATTTATTTCCTTTTAGGAATTAATATATAAATTATTTTTTTCAAATTTGAGTAAATTACCATTTCAAAATTATATATATTATTGCACGCCATGTTATTTAAAAATTCAAATGGAAATCTGGGTAACGACTTAAATCTTGAGAAAATTTGGGTTGTTATAGTTTCATATCAGAGCTCAGGTTTAATTTCCAGTAGACTCATATGTATTTTCATAATATGAGTTTTGAAATAAATAAATAAATAAAAAGAAATAAAACAAATTGGGTGTTTTAAAAAAAAAATTGTAATAGTATTGTTCACGACGAGTAGGAACACTGTTCACCATGAACAGTGATGTTACTATTCATGGATGAACAGTGACCGTTGTCATCACAATGTGAATAGTTAAAAAAAACATAAGGATTTTAAAGAATTGTTAAAAGTACGCTGTATGTGCATTTATATATATGTGTATGGGGATGAGAATAACTTATTTTGTCAAAATAAATAATTATTTGATAATTTCAATTTTAAGGGATAGTTGTTAAAAATAATATATATATATATATATATATATATA